AAAAAAAAAAAAAAAAAAAAGTGGTAAGTGCTGGAGTATTTGTTTCCCCACACACATACAGTAATAATTTCTTTCAGGTTTTTTAGTTTTAAAATCACTTAAACTAGGCAATGGCATTAGGAAACTATTACAAGCCTGTCTGATATTGTCAGCAAACCCAGCTGCAGTATCAACTTCACGGGCTGGATTCAATGAATGCTCACTATTCAGACCAGATAGTAGTTTTTCTCCTGAAAAGTGAGGTGGTTATTCTTCTAAAAGAGATACTAGAAATTAAAACACTTGCAGACAGCTTCCTAATCAATTCCCAAGAGGCTCATTCTTTTTCAAGTCATAGATGTCATAGAGAAGTAGGGCTGGAAGGAACCTCCAGAGGTCTTGTAGTCCAACCCCCGGCCTGAGGCAGACCATCCCTATCCAAACCATCCCATACAACCATAGTCTAAGGGCTACAAGTGTTCTATCTGAAAAAGGGAAGGTTTTTTTTTTTTTTCTTTAAATCTGGATGCACACTGTGTGTTCCCAAGGGCAAGCTGCTGGCCAAGCACTTCTGGTGAGCATGATGGCTGCTATGAGCAGCAAATGCTACTGCAGGCAATGTGTTGAATTACAAAGGTCTTGTTTCCCCACCACAGATTCCCTATATTCCACATTGCATTCCTGCTTTGCAGGGAAAGAGGATATCTCAGAAGTGAAGAGGGTAGATGTCAGGAGCCCAGGAGGGGTACAGTAAACGCTGTTACACAGTGGATGTTCTATTCATGCCCTTAATGATGTGAGTTTCATCCTAAATGGGTGGGGATAAACTTTTTGGCAGGCACACCAGAAATTGACCTATGCCCTCCTAGGGTGCCATGCCAATCCCCTTCCTCTGAGTAATCTGCTGCTCTACTTTCTGCTCCCTACTTTGTACTCTCTGCCCAATCTCCTCTGCTTTCTACTACCTGCCATGTGTTCCCTGCCTGATCTCCTACTCTGCTTTCTGTCCTATTGGCTGTTGTGCTGCCTGTTCCCTACCTGATTTGCTGGATGCCATATACACTTGTGCTACAGGTTGGCCACCCTTGACCACAATAGTAACTACTGCCATTGCATTCCACATTGTGTTAGGTAGCACTGACAAAACCTAAGTCTATGCCATGCAACAGGGTTCCACTTCACTCCTGACTTCCCACAGTGAGAATATTTGGAGGGGAGATTTACTGTGCTGGCCTCCAAATTAACTTCAAATTTCATCCTTACTCCTAATAGGGATCTACAATTAAGAGACACTGCATGCATTATATACAATACATCTTTATAGGCATAGAAAGGTACTGGATATTATGTGCACCCTGCACTGCATCACACAGCATCTATATTTGTCTGTAATGAATGGTTCATGCACACACTTACATGGGTGCACGTGTACTGCATGTATACCCATGCATGCACATTTTTACTTGTATACACATCTTTGTTATGTAATAATGAAAAAAGGTGTTTGTAAAAAAAACCCAAACACTTAAGTGTGCTCAAAAGAAATTTCAACAGAACCTAGTGATGCCAATTCTAATTGTGTCCATTCAGAGCTCAGTTTAACAACCAATGCAATATAAGAAAAAGATTTTGATGTTACATGCAAAAGATTAGTGACCCAATTATATAGTTTTTAGGAATAAGTAAAATGTTTCTTACTGGAATTCTGCAGAGTACCATCTCAATCTCGCTCCCATTTGAAGAGTTTTGCTCTATTTCCTGAAAATCTGTTATCTGGAAGCTAATTTATTTATTCCAGTTCAGATATTTATATTACAACATCAAAACAGTTAAAATATGTAAAAACAAAACCAAAAAAACTTGCCCCCACTCCCTAAAAAGAAATGAGTCAGCTTGGGCATTACCCAAAATACCTGGCTAGCATTTCCAACTATCTAAACCAGCCAGAGTGACAAACCTTTTGGCTTTAGACTTTATTTATCCTAAATATTATGCGATAGAAAACAGCCTATGTAGTTGTGTAGTTCAGTTTTCTTTTTTAAATGTATGTTACTGTTCTTTAAAAATTGCCATAGGCATCTGACCCTATAAAGGCTATGCTTAATTCTAGAATATTACTGATGGACACTTGGAACCTGACTTGTAAAAGGAGAAAATCTAGGATTTAGAGTGACAAACCAATATATATATAAAAACCTTTTGTATGGTTGGGTCTGATGAAAAGCACAGAATGGACATGCCTACATGAGACACTTACTGTGCACCTAACTAATTATAGTAAACATCTCGGTGTCTATATGAGCACCCCTCTGCTGCATTTTTTTTTTTCATGCACAGAAGCGCATACAAGTCCTACTATGCTGCAGAGTTCTTCATACACAGCAGTGCATATGTAGATGCTGATGGCACTGGCTGGGGTATGACGGTGCTTCAGTCCGGGGGCTGCCTGCCAGCTAGCCCCTTGCTGAAGCACGCTTGTGTCCCAGCCAGCCCTTCTGCAGCACATTGAGCCTGGTCAGAGCAGCCCCACACTGGCAAGGTGACCCCCACCCTCCCAAGTCCCCTACTAGCCAGGGATGCTGCAACATGGCTCAATGTGCTGCAGTCCAGGCACATGTGTAAATCTTTGCTCCGCACTTTATGCTCTCAGGAGCTTCCCAGAGCAATAAGCTCTGCAGTTTATTGCTTCATGTTAATGGCACATGTAGACTCACCCAATGATCTCTAGTTTACTTCCCTTTCAAGCCCAGTACCAGTCATGTTCTCCCCATTTTAGATAAACCTGTACCTCTTGGGTCTGTTTAGGATGGCAGAATTCTCTTTTGCCTCATATACTTTTGCATTGCTCAGAAAGGTGCAACTTCCTCCTCATACAAGACAGTGTTGCTTTTAAATTACATAAAAATGGTAAAATGAAGGTTCTGAACAATATAAGAAGGCTCTAGAGATACCTTCCCTCCAGTACATCAGTTATTTTCAGACTTAATAGTTAGAAAACTCTATCAATTTAGCTGTATATAGAGTGAATATTTTTCATTGCTATGAGTGGTTAATATGGATATTTGTTGTTATGGTTTATGTGGAAGGTCACTATTTGCAGCGAGAACAGGGGGGGGGGGGGGAGTTCTCTTAAGAAGGTCGATTTAGGAGCTAGCTTCTTTCCAAAAATGACCACAATTTGAAAGCTGGAATGTTTGAGGTTCATTTGTTTAGTAAGTGTATATACTTCATCATGCTTCAGGAATCTGGAGGAAGGTAACTAAGATGACCACTATTTCGATGCTAACAAATTCAGTTGACTGAACAAAACCACCAGGCCATTCAATTAAATAATCCTAAAGCCTTTTTAGCATGCATCCGGCAGTTGGGTGGATGAAACGCACTGTGGCCATCACATCAGTGATGCAAAAATTTAAAATTCTCAAAGGAGCATTTTCCAAGGCAGACCATAATTAGTCCAGAGGAGCCATTAGTGCCCACTGGATCATTGATCTGCAAGCTCAGAAGTTTCTTAAGTAGACCCTGATCTAAGACATGGTTTCCAGTTTTCTACTGTGCCAAGAAACCACTCTCATCACTCCATAATTACATACTTTGAATTAAATGTGTGAATTTCATGGCTTCTAACATTAGTCAAACACACTCTTATGTGGTTAAATGTTTGACATTTTGGTCTAAGTAAATGACTAAAATCTGCTGGGTTTTTTTATTTCAGTTTATATTTACTCTCCTACCCTCTGCAATCATTGGCAAAGTGGTTTAAGTGGGGGGGGTTTTTTGTTTTCTTTTTTTTTTGGTTTTTTTGACAACTCATTTGCATCTGTGACAAACTACCCAATTATAAAAGCCAAGAGGCAATAGGTGCTCCTTTAAAATATAAAACCCCATAAGCAAGAAAGCAGATTGGGATTACTTTCTTAAATTTTTACACATTTTAAAGACTGCCAGACCTGTTCCAATTAAGCACTAACATGGGTCTGGTCCTGTTCCCACTGAAGTTAATGGGAAATTTGTCATAGACCTCAATGGTAACAGGTTTAAACTCATTTTCATAATTACAGTGTTACTGCACTTGGATTTAAAATGTAGCCACAGAAATGTAAATTTTCATGTGTTTGGATAAATGCAAATTGAATTGATATTCTACAATTCTTTCATTGCTAATTACATGGTGCTAATGAGACAGAAAAAGACTCTTCCTTTTTAAAGTACAGGGGTTTGATTTATTACAGAAAATGTTGGCTTTAGCATCCCATTACTTTAATTATGTTGCCACCCTAAAGATATCTTTGCCTTTATGACAACAGCAAGGATCATCAGTCTAGTTTAACACTGTATAATGTTGAGAGCTATGGAGACACTTGGCTATGGAGACACTTGAGATCAGTTGTTCCCCAAACCCACAGTTTGTGAGCAATATGTATTCCCCTGAAGCTCTTCTATGTTGGCTGTGTGTATAGTAAATTAGAAAAGACAAAGCTGAGGTTGGTGGGAACAACCCAGTATGGGAGTGCCTACAGCAAATGGTTAAATTGTTGCTGATGGGCCAGCAAAGGTTCAGAACCAAGACACTGAGTCAGCAAAAGTTTCTCAAAAGTAAGAGAGAAAGCAGGGCAGGGACTAACTCATTCAGAACTGTAGGGCATTTTTACATTTGGTTGGGGAAGCATGGGGGGGTGCCTTAAATGAGTATTTTTAATTAACCACCCACGCGTCATATTTCGGTATCCCCCATACTGAAAAATGGCAGCAGGGAGTTTTGAACTAAAGCTTATTGAACCACCATTTTTTGGTTCAGGGGTGCTCATACACATGATGACAAGAGTCTGCTGGTGCATGTTTATTTCTGTGCTCCAGCAGACTCGATTTTTAATCGAGCCCTTGGAGACTAACCCTTAGAAACTAACTCATTCAAAAATGCATATGCTTTCTTAGGCAACAGCCAGCTTCATCTGATGCTATGGCAAAGTAGTCTCTAAGGAAGTGGTTCTCAATCTTTTGAGATTCAAGGCACTACTCATTAGTCTCATTGCACCCCTCAGAAAATGCCAGGTCTTGGTTTTTCACTTCTTTTTGGCTACAAAAAAATAATAGAACAATTCTTCTGTTGCAAAGAACTCAGAACACAACAGATCAGAATGTTTTTAACACCATAAATTCCTATTTGAAATCTCTGAGTTTATTTTGTGAATCGTGTTTGCAAACCTAACAGTGTTAATATTGCACGACACCTGTAGGCACCTTTTGAAAGGATCTCTGGGTACTGTGGCAACCTGGTTAAGAATCACTTCTCTGAGATCACCCTGTCCTGCCTTCTTCCTGATTTCAGGCTAATACTGCTAAGTACTTCCCTCAAAGTATTAGTATTGATAGTTTTCCAAACAAATAGCTCTGTCTATAACTTCTGGCCAGACTGTTCTCACATTCAAATGTGTTCCTAGCTCTTCTGCCAAACTCATATGCTTTAACTCCATCCCACTCATATTAAAGATATGTCTACTCATGTTTAGTTCAACTTGTAACTCTTCAAGCAACCCTAAGGAATCACCATGAAATCCATCTCTCAGATATGAGCCTGCTCTCAAAGAAAATTAGCTCATTGCCAGAATATTATTCATAATGCCTAACAAACAAGAGGGAGATGTTGTAGATGGTATAAAGCAGTGTTTCTCAACCCATGGTACGCATACCCCTGGAGGTACGCAAGACACGGGCAGAGGGTATGTGGGTGCTGCATTTTGGTCTTTGCCTTCTCAAGCCAGAAGATCTGGCCACCACCCCTCCTCCCATGTCTGGTGCACCAGGGCTTTCACTCCCCAGCATCAGTGTGCCGAGGGATAGGGAGGGAGGCCCCATGCAGGATGCATTGCCCTGGGCCGCATTGGAAAAAGTGGGACTTGGCTTGCGGCAGCAAAATTGGAAGTGCCACAGTGGGACTTCTGGTTTTGCTTTTGCTGCGTTGATTGGCACGGGGTACGTAAGGTACCAAAGGTTGAGAACCACTGGTGTAAAGCCCACTAGGCAAATGAGCTTGAGGTATCAGATCTTTTCTCAACACCCCATCCTCCACCCCTACTAGTCAGTCTCCTTCTCAACAGCCAGAAGCGAGGTCAAAAACATATCAAGTAAAGTTGCAGAAAAGACCCCCCAAACAGTTAATCTACAAGTGCAGACTTCATAACATGACAGTAATGCCTGGGCTGAGGGAAAGTCATAGTCAAACAAGAACCATAAAATGTACAATTTCAGAAAAACCTTCAGTTGTTGTGATTTTTCTTTTTGTATAAAAGCAAATAATTCTAAAGACATTGCCCCAATGTTTAGATTATTATCTAAGAAATTACTGCAGAGTATAGATAAAGTTGGTATAAATAAGACTACTCAACCCATTGTACACACAAACCTGTGACAAATGCAAAAATCAAGGTGGTAACCAAGTGAATCCTAAAATTAAGCTGACTCATTCTTTACCTATCACCTCTAATCAATTAGGCCCGACTGGAAGGATCTCCATTATGGGAAACAGGGTACAGAGCATTGACCCAACACACAGGATAAACGACAGAGACTACATGGGTTGGATGGATTTTGGACGCCGCAGTGCTGAAGAGTATGAGTACTCCTCCTAAATAAATCAAAATATCACCAAAAAAAAAAATCATCTCATCACCATTTCTGTACAGAAGAAAAAAATTAATTTGTTGTCCTCTACAAATTAGTGTTTTAAAATATATTATGTACTTGATGTAAATTTGTCTGTAAAACTATTCAATGCAATATATACATATGCAGAACTTTCAAGAACTATTTTCTTTCTTCTATGGGTTATTGTTCACTGATCTTATATTAAAATGATTTCACTTATCTTCTCTTGTTCTGTCACCACAAATGCTGCAGGTCTTACAATAAACTAAAGCATGGAAATGCATTCACTCTGCAATGTACATATATTACATCTGTTAAACAGTTAGACTAATGAAGAATCACTTTTTAAAATAAATTTTGTAGTAGTCTCATTGGCCGTGACAAGAGAACTTGCCCAAGTATCAGCATGGTAGCCCAATGGTGCGGCACAACATCACGTATCTTCATGATTACTTCAGTTTCAAAACAAATTCACATGTTTGTAGTGAGTAGTAAACAGTACTAAATCTTTAAAAAAATTACATTTAACCTTTTTGGCTCAATTATTTTCTACTGTGAACAAACTGTTCTGCTAACAGCTATGAATCATGGAATAAACAGAACATTCCTTGCCTTGTGGTAAGTTATAGATTTGTTTTGGGTTTATGAAGTAAACTTTGTAAATATAGCATGGGATTTTTTTTTTGAGAAAGAAGGGAAGTGTTATGTAGTTTGTAACAGAACAGATATAATCTGCCACGTATTAGAATTTTATCCCATTTACTTCACACATGAGGTGCTCTTCTGCAGCAGAAGCATTACCTGTAAAAGAAAAAGACAGATAGACATTCATTTAAATATACTTCTAAGGCTAATTTTTCTTGGTGAATTCTCAGTTGGTCTAATAAAAGGTATCATCTCTGAACCGAGAGTTCTAGATGTTTGCACTGCTAAGGCTAGCAAATTTGACATGTTTCTAACCAGGGACAGCAAGACAGAAAAAAATATAAATTATATATATAACTCCTAACCTTAACGAGAAGCCAGTTGGCTGTTTGTGCTCTGAGACCTCATTTGGCAGAAACTCTCAAGTGACCTAAAAATATCCTCTTTGATCTGTAGGAAGAACATGAACGTAAAGCTCAAGTTATGTACAGTGTTTTCATTTGGGTTTAAAATGAAGATCCTTCCCACAAGGCTGGAAGCTTCCTAATTTAATTAATCAGACTTTTAAGTAAAATGAAATGAAGCTTCAGTATGAATGAAAGTGGTTCTACAGGTATTTGATTGGCTTCCCAACCCTCGGCCTCTTTCAGCATCTACAAAGTACACCCCCAGTCTTCTCCAGGAAAATCGAAGTTTCAGTGTGCTGTGTAGAGCCCGCTGAGGTTCCCAGAATCCCTTTACTTGCATATCTAACATCTATTCATGAGCAAACATCAGATTTCAAAGACCAGTAAATGTCTTGGCTGTGACCTGGGTGGAATTTTTTTCACTGCATTTTTATGAAGGAAAAAATCTGATCTTCTTAGTCATGGCAGCAATTGCTTGCTCATAGAAGATGAAAATATAAAGTGAGTGACATGGTTCATAGCTATTAAAACACATAGCTAGGAGATACGGGAACTAGAATTCAAAATGACTCACCAGTTAAGCACATGATTACAGGGATAGCCCCTAGGCTTCCTTTGTGTTTCTATCATCCCAACTGAACTTCCAGGTAAAATAAAAAAAATACCCTCAAAAAATTAAGCTTGCATCTGAAGTGAGGTTTACTGTGTAAGAAATGCAAACAATGGACCAACCAACCAAACCAATACCTAAAACTGACAACATTCAACTTGGTAACTGTGTTGCTTTTCTGAGAAAAAGGAATATTGTAAAAAGGGCAGTTACAGGGTACTCTGAACAGTAATTTCAGGGTGCTCTGAATGGACATTGTAATATATGTATGTACATGGATGGATACATACAGTGGATGTATTGGATGAAATCCTGGCTCCAGTAGGTTCAATGTCAAAACTCTCTATGACCTCATGCAATTTCCAGATCAAATGTTCCAATTTACAAGTCGAAAGATGATGTTTCAGAGCCCCTACATCCACATTTATCTAATAATCTGAAAATCAAGTTTTGAGGGATTTTTTCCTATGTTTTTCACACATCACCTTTCACAATAATGCAAATTCTGCAGTTGGAACTGAGGTGGTATTTTGCACCCCATGCATGAGATAAAATAAAATCCAGTTCACTCTTCTACACAAATGTTCTCATCTCTCCAGAGTGAACGGTAGGAAAACCTGAGCTGAACTTACTGGAAGCAAATATGCTAGAGCAGAAGGTGCCATTTTTGCTCAATAGTTTTTCTCAGTATAAAGTCTGCTAATGCCTACTTCTTTATTGCCTCACTGGCTTGGGCTTTGAGTTGTTATACAAATCAATGCAAAGTGCTTGTAACTGTATATCAAAGTATTGAGACATTTCTATCAAAGCAGAATGCAGTCGCATTTTACATCCAGTTTGGCTAAATGTAAATGACTGAGCCAGATGTAGGGCAGTTTCTCATACTGAAGCTCCTCATACTGACCCCATATGTGCTCCATATATTATTATCTGCAGTAGGTAAAAGGGGGAGTCATACAATTCAACACACATCGATTTGGCAGGCGGTTTAATCCACCAGCTGGTGGATGCCACTTGAAGAATACAGCAAATCATTACAATTAAGGCCAGTACATCAATACTGAGCTGATGTAATCAGGATTTAAGAAGCAGAAATAACCTCAGCACACAATATGTGACATGGAGGAGAAACCCAGATGAATTTAGCTTACTCTCCACCTAGGTCTTTGGAATAGAAAGGGGTTGCATGCTCTGAGTGGGTATGTATTCCAAAGGATGAGCAACGCTGGGCTAATTAGGTCCAGACATTTCCATTGTACTAGTAAAATAAGTGAATTTGGCAACAAAAAAAATTGAAGACAGGTAATTTTTAAGGCCTATTGAAAAGCTACAGCTATCCCCTGCAAACACCACTGAGGCTACTATAATATACTAGATAGATTCCTGCTTGAAAATGGTGGGCAAGGTTGGGCTCAGTTCTCTGCTGGAGCACAGAAAGAAAGAAAAGTGCAAGTGACCTGGCCCATTTTGGCCAACTGCGCCCAGACTGCACACAGCATGATCTTTGTGTTCATGTACAAGGATGATACAGGCTAATGACAGCAGAAGATTTTCCTAGGAGTTCCAGGCAAACCTAATGTAGCACCCAGGATGCTGTCCAAATGCAGAGACAAAAGACACTTCACCCTTTTCAGTGGTCATGGTGTAGGCTGCCCTTATCAAAGCAATACTTCCAGGAGGTACTGTTTCTCAGACCTAAAGTGAAATCTTTAGTCAAGTATTATCAAAAACATCTTTATGACCATTTACATTTTTACTGTGCAAAAAGCTATTGGGAAGGATAGCTCTGTGGATAATCACCTGGATATTGGTTTTAATACAAATAACAAATTCCACTACAAAATTATCCCAAAACAAAATAAAACATTTTTTTAAAATCAACTGGCAATTTGTGTCAGAAATCAACTCAGTTTTTGACCAAAACCACCCAATTGTGTCAAATAGTTTCAGCCAATTCTACCTGTAACTAGTCAGACAACCAATACACAGTAGATGGCAGTGTAGTGACTCATAATGTCTCTACAACATCTATTGACATTTCTTACCTTGACAAAATCCATGCTTTTTGTCCAGTTGCTGATTTCAAACCCTGAAATCCCACCTGTCTTTGACCAGTTTCTGTCCTAGCCCCTAGGCCTAGGCTATCTTAGTCTTGTTTCAAGCTAGTGGTTCCCTCCATATTGCCTATTCAAACTCCTGCCTCCAGTTTCACTCTGTTTTCTCCTCATCCTTATTGGACTTCTGTCGACTTGACTTGACTCCTTATTCTTGACTGCCTCCCACAACCCACAGACAAGAGTCCTGATGCATCCAGTTTTAACAAACAATGACATTAGTGTCAGTCAAAACATTTTGAGAAATGTTCCTGCCAAAAAATGAAATTTCATTAAAAATTAAAATTTTCTTTGGGGAAAAGTAGTATCCAACTTTCATTTTTTTTTATTAAAATGAAGCATTTTAAGCAAAATGTGGGTCGGTCTTCTGGCACAGATTTTGAAAACTAAAACAGTAATAATGTTTTTCCTTTCAGTTTTAGGGGATATGGGAGATCCAACTTTGTTTACTTTACCCAATCTTTTATAGTGGAAATAAATCAGTACAAATTGAGAAGACAGTGTTTTGTTTTGTTCCTGTTATTTTCTTTTTTCCCTTCACTTTTTCCTAGGGAGAGGGTAAAATTTAAAACTATCTTAACTCCATTTTTTCCCTTCAAAATCATTCAAAAAGCCAAATGGTGTGAATGCTTGTGAACCTTTACACTTCAGGGTTAGGGAGAGAAGTTACACATAAACCAGTTTAAGTGGTCAGAAACTGGTTTACATCTGTAACAGAACATAAGTTCAGTTCACATAAACCAGTGTGAAAATGGCTGAAATTGGTTTAACATAAACCTGATTGAATGTAGTATCAGACTTAACTGATTTGGGTTAAACTGGTTTATGAAATTTCTGTCCCAGACCCCTTCCTGGTTCAAGTTAAATCAGAGCACCCCAGAATCCCAGCATGCTGTCCAGCCCTAGGCTGGGATGTGCTATCGACTCCAGACAGCATGGCTGGCGCTGCCCCTCTGCTCTCTAGCTGGAGCAGTAAGAGCTGGCTGACAAAGTGCTGTGGGGGCAGTGGGGAAAAAATCCAGCTGGGGATACAGCTCAGTCTGCAGGGGAGGACTGTCCCCCAGGCAAACCCTGGCTGGAGCTGGGGCTAGGGCCGGGGCCAGGGAAGGGGGTTAAATACCCCTTCCCCTGCTCAAATTCACTGCTGGCTGCAACTGTGGACTACAAATCTCAGAGGTACCTGGAAGCAGGAAGAGGAAGTGATAAGCAACCCTGCAGAGTCCTGCAGCTGTAATTCTGGACTGCAAATCCCAGAGACTTCAGGGGTAGCAGGAAGAAGTGAACACACAGCCAAAGAACCATGCTCTAGCATGCCCTGGCTTCTGGCCTGAGCCAGAGGGCATATGGCCACTGGGTGCATTTCCTGAATCAAATGTAAATGTCTGTTCACTTCTGTTTCAATTTCATTTGTGCAGTTTAGACTAACCAGCAAAGACTGAATCAATTAAGCCTAAGGGCTTTCTGACTGTCTGTACCTAGCTTAAATGCTGAAGTCTGCAAGTAAGAGAGGAACAGTAGAATAAACCTTGGTTCTGCCCTGTTCATACTCCCTTGCAGCATCTGTTCTCTGCCACTGTGTGGCACAGGAGACTGGGCAAAATACTTTGACCCAGGAAATGGCACTTTTTATGTTTTAACAGTAAAGGCTGGCACTGACTGGGGACTTTCATACGTGGGATTTTTGATTCTTGGTTTAATTCCTCAGCTACCTACAAGGTTGGCAAAGAAGATATGCAGTCAGCTCTGCATCCTGTATTCCTTTCAACCATAAAGTTCCTTTTCTGTGAACAAAGGGACCTAACTCTCTTTGCAATAAATAGAAGCTCAACACTACTG